AAACCTGGTCACATAAGGAAGAAGTGTTGGAAACTACATGAAAAATCTACAGATTGGAAATCGAGGTAATGAAGAAAGTCCAAGACCTTAAGAACTATGCTACTACCACTTCTAAAGTGTCAGCTAAACCTACTCTTTTCACTAAGGAATAACTGGAGGTGTTGAAGAAATTTCACGATTGTATGGGATCCTAAGCTTTGTCTACTCGCCCCTGACCAATATTATTTTGCCAACACAGCGGATAGTGAACTAATTATCACAATTGTCTGGGGTGGTAGAAAAACATTGATACGCGCGGGTACAGTGGCGTCCCAGTTGTATTATTAGAGAGTGAATTCCTCTAAACATGCACATACAAAAATTCAAATATAAGTTATTCATTCTTGAATACCATGTATCTACTAATGAATAAGTACACGTTTACTAGGATCGAAATGGCATGCACTAGTCTAATAGCTACACATAAATCATTATGCAACAGATTATACATGATTGTTTTCTAAAAGTCATGTAATGATACACTATATGATTTTTATTTGAAGCTACAAATCATGCAATATATCTAAAGTGTCAGCTAAACCTACTCTTTTCACTAAGGAATAACTGGAGGTGTTGAAGAAATTTCACGATTTTATGGGATCGTAAGCTTTGTCTACTCGCCCCTGACCAATATTATTCTGCCAGCACAGCGGTTAGTGAATTAATTATCACAATTGCCTGGGGTGATAGAAAAACATCGATACGCGCGGGTACAATGGCGTCCCAGTTATATTATTAAAGGGTGAATTCCTCTAAACATGCACATACAAAAATTCAAATATAAGTTATTCATTCTTGAATACCATGTATCTACTAATGAATAAGTACACGTTTACTAGGATCGAAATGGCATGCACTAGTCTAATAGCTACACATAAATCATTATGCAACAGATTATACATGATTGTTTTCTAAAAGTCATGTAATGATACACTATATGATTTTTACTTGAAGCTACAAATCATGCAATAACTTAATATCTATGCACCCCTACTACAATTTAATGTCATTCAATGATCTAATAATCTTATATAAAATTCATATTTAATATGCTCATTTTCCTATCTACCAATAAGAACAAGTTACTATAATCTAAATTTCATTGAAATAAAATATAAATAAAGCATCAATAAAATCAAACATATATTTTGAAATAAAACTAAATAATGAAATTTAAAAATGCAATTACTCATCTCAATTATTAAGAGACATCTTTAATAATTTAATCCTCCACTTAACTTCCTTGCTAGTCTTTTACCAGTTCATTTTCACGAAATCAAAATCCTAAAATATTTTCAAAATGCACTTTATTTAAGGTATTTAAATATCTCCTAAGTTAAAAGACACAAGACACGATTTTAGAATTTACCTCACTTCTTTTAATAAGGCCCAAAACTCTTCAATATTAAAACTCAATTACTCCTTCCAATTCAAATCACTCGTTTTGTCTCATCATGATTAATATTCACATAATGACAATTAAAATATTAATATAAGAAAATTAAAAGGATGTAAATCTTACCTCTATCTTCACCGTCGACAATCTTCCTAGCTCCAAACCAAATAAAATTTGTTCTTCATTACTATTAATAATATCTTAATACACAACAAATATTAAATTCATTAATTAAAATAATAAAATTTAATATATTAAATTCTATTATTTAAAATAAATAAAACCTAACTCTATCTTTAATAAACACATCGGCCTATGAAGCTCAAACGAGAGCCTTCCCACATGAACACAATGCAAGAAGTCGCTCCTTCCCGCGTGAAGGCTCGACTCCCTCTCTTCTCCCTCATAAAGGCGGCGTAGAAACTCCTCCCGCAAGTTGTCTCCTCCAGTTTTGATGCCCTACCCCTTCTTCTCCCTCGCACATGTAGCGTCAAAGCTTCTCCTACAAACAATGAAGCTCTTCTCGCTTTGCAGGTCGCGATTTCTCCTTAAAACTCTTCTTCCTCTTCTTCTTCTCAGCTCAACCTTCCTCCTTTAACAAAACTGAATCCTAGCACTTTTCTATGCTCCTCTTCAACCAGCGGCTAGGGCATAGGCTTCCTTCTCATTGAACGATGTCGAACCTAAGCACAAGCCACTCCTTCCTTCGCAACGGTTGATCTTCCCGTTCAGCTTCTGTTCTCACCGGTAAATCTTCCTCTTCCCCTTTTGTCGATGCTCTCCTTCATTACTTTCATCTCACTTTGATTCGTCTCCTTCAATTCAAAAGAATATGCAACTCTTTAATTCGTAATGAAAGGATGCTTCTGTTCAATTATTAGCATAATTTCGTTTATTTATTTATATTTTTATTTTTTGTAGATTATTACAATCATCCCAATTTATAAAAATTTATGAACTTCATCACAACTAAACATTATGCATCTCAAACATGAACTATACACAAATTTTTAAGAAAGTTTAATTTTTTGTTAAATAATAACAAAAGTAGACATGATAACTGACCCGACCACAAATACGCAGTTATTTAGTTTCAATGTCAAAAACTTGACCCGATTTCCTTAGGTCGTTAATGTGTAAAATGAATATGTTATAGAATTTAGAATTTGATTTATATTTCACACATTTGGGATTTTACGCAAGTGCATGTATCGTTCAAACAATATAGGGTTTTCTTTTAAGACCCAGAGTATCGATCCCACAAAGAAGCGATGTAAGAAATCACTTAGGATAAGTTCTAGTCTACTACTGTCAGGTCTTAGTTTGGAATGTCGATTAAATATGTTTTCCAACAACTACTCCTAAATACAAACCTAAATCTAAAGATAAACCTAAATAGATTATTGATGTGGTGAATTTTGAGATGTAACAATTGTCGTTATCTTGCCGCGACTTAGAAAAGGTGCATGAATAAAATACTTAAAATTTAATCTAGTCACTGACTATAGGAGCAAATATATTTTTTACCCTCTTCTGAATGCATAAAAAACAATAGGTAACCTAGAATTGATTC